TGCAAGCATATAGGCCTAACCAATGGACACGGACAACGGGGGGGTGAGGGCATGAGCGGCGGGGGGGGGGGGGGGGGGGGGTAGAGGGTAACGTGGGGACAAGGACACATATGTAATATCTTAATCAATAAAAAATATATTAAAAAAAAAAAGATTCCACAGTGTGTAAATGTCCTTCTAGAACAGCGGTTTCTCAACCTGTGGGTCAAACGACCCTTTCACAGGGGTCGCCTAAGACCATCGGAAAACACATATATAATTACATATTGTTTTTGTGATTAATCGCTATGCTTTATGTTCAATTTGTAACAATGAAAATACATCCTTCATATCAGATATTTACATGACGATTCATAACAGTAGCAAAATTACAGTTATGAAGTAGCAACAAAAACAATTTTATGATTGGGGGTCACCACAACATGAGGAACTGTATTAAAGGGTCGCGACATTAGGAAGGTTGAGAACCACTGTTCTAGAAGATAAACTTGAGCGGATGGATCTTCACTGGCTTCTGTAGTGGTTTCCCAGGCATCTTAGCTAGCAGCCACCCTGGCCCCAGGGTATTGAGTGCAAATAAATGTTTCAGGTGACTGACAGTAGGAAAGAATTGTAGGACAAGAAACTACCTGCCATACCTGTGCTGAAATACTGACCCTTCCAGCTGGTTAAGTTCTATACTCAGTCATTTCCTTTTTGTGACGTTCACTCATCAATGACAAGTTAATATTTTCACCTGGTGATTCAGGGGTAAGTGCAGTATTGTGTATGAAATTGGAAGGGAGTCAAAGTGAGTGTCATGACATTATGAACTTCTTTTAAAAACTTACAGGAGGAACAAAGCCTAGGCCTTTGCGTTACTTGGCGTAGTTACTTGACCTTTAGTATTCATTTTCTTATTTTGCTGACAGTACTTCACTTATTTTCTGGGCAACCACCCTCTCCTATAGTCTATGTTCTTCTTTGGGTGAACCAGACGTGAAGCATATGACTCATAACTGGCCAATCACAGCACAGAATTTTTCCAGCTCCAGCTAATTTCTTTAGGGATGGGCGGGTCATCACTTTGGTTCCATTAGTGAATCCAGGAACTACTGGGAAGGATCTCTTTCATGCTGGACTGAAATCTTGCTGGGCATGAAGTCTGAGTCTACTGCCAAAATGGAGGAAGAGAGCTGAGTTTTTTTTTTTTTTTGATAAGAAAATTTCTTTTGTCTGACTTGAAATGAGCACGGGTGGCAAAAGATCAAAAATTCTAACTCTATCCTTATTTTCCCAGGACAGCTAGAAGTGTCTAAATTAAAAATTTGTAAGAAAATCGATGCTTGCCCTAACCGGTTTGGCTCAGTGGATAGAGCGTTGGCCTGAGGACTGAGCGGTCCCAGGTTCGATTCCGGTTAAGGGCATGTACCTTGGTTGCGGGCACATCCCCAGTGGGGGTGTGCAGGAGGCAGCCGATTGATGTTTCTCTCTCATTGATGTTTCTAACTCTCTATCCCTCTCCCTTCCTCTCTGTAAAAAATTAATAAAATATAGTTAAAAAAAAACATACCACCTACTATAAAATATTCTTGCCAAAACTAATTGAACGGATGAATGAATGAATCTGATTAAGCTCTAGCGCCAATTTACTAAAATGCCGAGGAAACTACCCTTCAGTGATGTAGCCAGCAAAATCTGGATGGGGAAAACTAAAGGACAAACAACCCAGTTTCCTCAATAAATACATTGCAAAAGAAAAAAGAGAGAGAGAAAGGGGAAACTTATATAAAAAAAGAAAAAAAAAGAAAATTGATGCTTTATAACACAAAAGAAATAAAACAAAACAAAACAACACAACAACTCTACATTAGACTAGTTTATTATATGAGCATTATAAAATACCTTCCAGGGATATGGCATTGTAAGATCTTTTCTTACGAAATGTGTAATCTGCTTGGGAAGACCCAACATTAAAAGTCTAAACTCTTTAGAATACAAGTGAATTGCAGACGGAAATGCATATAAACATTCTGAAAGGCAGTATAAAGTAACTGATAACTATCTACAAACAAAGCCAGCCTAGAACAAAAGCATGGGTAAGAGGCTTTAGGCTAAACTCTGGGTATTTCTAATTGATTCTCCAGGTATGGTTACTTGTATTCCTATTCTTTATATAGATTCATACATTTCCTACCTGGATATTTTCTCTGAATTACTGACTTTCATATTCAATTGCCTCTTTGATATCTCTGCTTAGATGTCCAATGGGTATTGCAAACTCACCTGTTTCCAAACCTGCTTCAGGGGTCAGAGGCTATATAAAACACACACATACACAGGTTGTCTAAATTTATAGGTTTATTATGACATGGAATAGTGTAAGCAGAAAAAAAGCAAAAATCTTACAAATGAATAATTTTTAAGCATGTTGACCTCCAGAATTTTTTAGTCAACTTGTAATTCCAGATGAGTACCATAGCAAGCTTATTGATGGTAGTTTACTATCTAGGAAAGGGAGAAGAGCCAAATCAAGTACAATAGAAATGAATTGTGGCAAATGGTAATTTTTTGATATAATGAAACAAAAACAAACGAAAAATTTAAAGAAGATAGGCAGATGTCAATTTCCTAGTTTTAGTAATCTATTATTAGAGGTATGTAAGAGGCTACCAATGGGGAAACTGGACAAAGGACACACAGGACCTCTCTACTATTTTTGTAACTTCTTGTGAGTCCACGATTATTTTCAAATCAAAAGTAAAAGAATAAATAGTAAGTCTAGATAAGAAGGAATTTTTAGAAAGAGAATATTTGTTACATTTAAAACAAATATACACAGTTGTAAGGAGTTAACCAAAATTTTGAAAATGCTTTCAACACACACACACACTCTTTACAAATAAAAATATCAGGCTCTGAAATGTGGTAATTATTTTTAATGTTTGAACTAACAATGTTTATCAGAGATGGATATAGAGGGAAACACAGTATTATGCTTGCAAAATACAACTCAATTTTGTGAAAACCATGAAAATGAGAGTTTGCTCTTGAAAAAGGAAAATTTGTTTCCTGACATCATCAAAGAAAAATGTGAAGGACCTGATATGAAAGGAACAAAAACGTACAAATCCTACTACCTCATTCCTCAGAACTGTATAAACACTTCCAAAATTTTCCTTCATCTATTAATTTTTCCCTAAAGCAGCCAGCCCACACAGACTTGAGGGCATACACATGTCAGAATATTCCATCAAGATATGGGAACACATATTTTTGGCAGGAAGGTCCTAAATGTGCAGGGAAAGACTGCCTGTGAAATAATTCAGAGTGATGCATTTAGTCAGAACCCCCTTGCAATAACAAAATGTTAGCATCATCTATAAAAATAAAAGTGTAATATGCTAATTAGACCAGACAGCTGAACGGCCTTCCACATGTCATTCCGGACGAAGCCGCAGCGGCAGGGGCTGAGGCAGAGGCGGTTAGGGGAGATCAGGCAGGCAGGCGAGCAGTTAGGGGCGATCAGGCAGGCAGGCAGGTGGTTAGGGGCGATCGGGCAGCCAGGCGAGTGGTTAGCGGTGATAAGGCAGGCAGGCAGAGGGGTTGGGGCGATCAGGCAGGCAGGCAGAGGCGGTTAGGGGAGATCAGGCAGGCAGGTGAGAGGTTAGCGGCGATGAGGCAGGCAGGTAGAGTGGTTGGGGTAATCAGGCAGGCAGGCAGAGTGGTTAGGACCCCTGAGGGATCCCGGATTGCGAGAGGGTGCAGGCCAGGCTGAGGGACCCCCTCCCCCACCCCGTGCATGAATTTTGTGCTCTGGGCCTCTAGTACTTTATAACATTGTTCGGAATGTTCAAAAGACACATGACAGTATAAACTCATAAAACAAGTGGAATAGTTTTTTGTTTTTTTTGGAATAGTTTTTATGGTGCCAAATAGAAAGCAAGTATCCTATAAGGGGAGAAGTAAAACACAGAGAAGTACCAAAATTGCCTCATGTATAGTCTATGTAAAAGCATATTTCATAATAAAATTCTAAAAGCAACATAGAAATCTGCTTGGCTGGACACTTTGCTTATATTGCCCTCTTAAATAAATACTAAAGTACAGCAACATGGTGTGAAGGGAATCAGGGCCAGAAGATCTGAGTTCAAATTTTAGTTCTTCCATCTACTAGTTTTGTTAACTTAGGCAAGGCACAATCTCTCTGAATCTCAATGTCTTTGTTACTAAAATGGGTATAGTAACCCCCATATCTGAAGGTTGGTCCAGTACTGAAAGGGATATTTAAGTGCTTTCACAATGCTGTGCAAATCACAGGTACTCAATAAGTGTGAGCTCCCTCCCAGATTTCCCAGAAGACACAACAAAATATTTCTCGGTTAGTTTGGTCTGAGCCAAAACAAGTGGTTAGAATAAAGTAAAAAGGGCAAGAGAGTTTCATCGTAATATTATCCAAACAATCTTTGGGTTAATTATGCAGTTATATAAACTGATATTTAATAAACATTGAGGCCCATCATTGTGGCTCAGTGGTTGAGCATCATCCTATGAACCAGGAGGTCACGGTTGGATTCTAGTCAGGGCACTTGTCCGGGTTGCAGGCTTGGTCCCCAGTAGGGGGCGTGCAAGAGGCAGCTGATCAATGATTCTCTCATCATTGATGTTTCTATCTCTCCTCCTCTCCTTTCCTCTGAAATCAATAAAAATATGTAATTTAAAATTATATTAAAAAAAGAAAAAAATCGCCGTAACTGGTTTGGCTCAGTGGATAGAGTGTCAGCCTGCGGACTGAAGGGTCCCAGGTTCGATTCCAGTCAAGGGCATGTACCTTGGTTGCGGGCACATCCCCAGTAGGGGGTGTGCAGGAGGCAGCTGATCGATGTTTCTCTCTCATCGATGTTTCTAACTCTCTATCCCTCTTCCCTCCTCTCTGTAAAAAAATCAATAAAATATATGTCTTTTAAAAAAAGAAAAAAATCATTGAGTTTATTGATATTATTCAGGTAATGCATTATTACCTGAATAGGTGCTCTTTCTTGCAAATCAGCTTTTAATTTTGTCTTTTAACTGATTCAGCAAAATATGTCATTCATCCTTTATTCAGAGCATAAAATAGTATGCTCTTTTGGCAAGATTAATCTCCTCTTGATCCCAGGTAAAAGTTATTTTGCTCACAGATCTGAGAAAAAGTGACACGGAAAGAGAAACCGTGAAAGGTTAATGAAATCGTCTTTCAAGGCCGAGAGTATCATGCAATGAAGCATGTGTTGAGGTCTCACTGTCTGCAGACCAAAGTTCCCTACTTCATGCCTTGAACCTCTCCTATCAATGATGTAGTCCAAACCCCCATGAAATCTACAGGGCGAGCAGGCCTCCTGAAACTACAGAAGCACAGAAACAGCCCCTAGAAGGCTTTGGGGACAGGTTCTTAACATAGAATCCGTGGGCTTTTATCCAGGGGGTTCTAGAACCAACCCTGTAGGTAAAGTTGTGTCTACGTGTATTTCCTTCTTTTTCTCAGGAGGCTGCTCAACTGCCACTTCCCTCTAGTGGTCTCGTCCAGCCATTCTATCCTGCCAAAGGGTACATAATCTCTCTCATCACTGTTGTGTCATTTCCTGCAGAGCCTTACACAATCTGCCATTACCTTGCTTGCTTGTTTAAATCGGTCTACCACACAGAGAGCAGGGTCCTGGTCTTCCTCCAGTGCCTTGGACCTTGTGGGTCTGCAGAGGTGCTTCTGCAATGAATGACAGGTCCGTGTCTAGCAGGTATCTAATGGACTCTGTGTGCATTCCTCCTCCCCACTCCCCACCAGTCTTCTCGGGAAACGATTTTTAAAATCACGCGTTTTCATTTTGGACATCGGGCTGCTAGCATTTCAACCGCACCCACTCACCCTCTCACCCCCGTTTCCTACAGTCGGAACGGCCACCCCGGCCCACTTACCCAAGCCCGTGAGGGTGGACAGTATAGAGGCGACCAGGACAGGTGCAGCCTTGAACAGAGGCGCGCATCCATTCACATCCCTGGCCCTGGTCGAAGACCCGGAGGAACCATCTCTAGGCCGCCCGGGCCTCGCCTACCGGCGGTCGCACTCCGCCCCCTCCGTCCGGCGGGGTCCCCGCATCTCGCGAGGTGGGGCGGGGTGGCCGGAGCCTCGCTCCCCCCCCCCGCCCCTCCCCCCCGGCGGCGCGCCGCTCGTCGCGGGGCAGCCGGGCGCACACGGCTCCGCCGGGATCAAGCCCAGCCATCGCGCGCGCGGCCGCAGCCGCGGCCACAACTACTTCCGGGTGAGCGGGTCGCCGACCCCGTGGCCCCGCCCCTCCGCCGCCTCCGCCTGCCGCTCGGGCTGCGGCTCCTCCCGGGGGCTGGTTCCCGCTGCCTGAGCCGCGGCGCCCCGGGGACACCGGCGTGACTGGCTGACCGGCCGCCGGCACCTGGAGCTGCCGTGTCCAGCCCGGCCCGCCTGGCCGGGGACCTGGGACCGAGGCCGCCTCCGCGCCCCTCGCCCTTTGCTCCCCGCTCTTCGCCCCGGCGGGCTCCCGGCGGGCGGGCCGCGCTCCGGCCCTTCCCGGGCGGCGCCGCCGCAGCCGCTGCCCGCGTCCAGGGACAGGTAAGGGCTGCTCTTCCCCGCGGTCCGGGGGAGAGCGGGGACCGGGACCCCCTTTCCCGGCCTCTGCAGCCCGGGGTCCGCGCCGCCGCTGACCCCTGCTGGGGGCCGGGCTCCGCTGGAGCTGGCCGCGTCCCCTGGCGGGCTCCGGGGTCAGGGTCGCCCTCCGCCTCCCGCGGTGCCCGGCTTCTCGTCTGATGCCGAACGCGCACCCTGCGTCCTCGCGGGGGAAGGTGTTGCTCGCCTTGGAGCTGCTGAGCGGGCTGCTGTCCCTCTGCCCCGGGTGCCCGTGGCGCCTTCCCCTCCTTCCCGGACGCGGCACTCTCGGGTCTGTCCCAGCCGGTCCACCCAGGGAACGGTGTCGGGCCGGTGGAGGGCGTAGCATTCTTTTTTTTTTTTTTTTTTTTTTTTTTTTTAGTGGCCTTTTTTTTTTTCTTCCTCCTTGACCCGAACTGAAGTGCAGGCATAACTGGCGCTGGCTAGGAGCGTCAGGCTTCATGCTTGACTAATAGGGGGTGTTATGCACACCCGGATTATTAAGTTATATAGTCCAGCCAGGCCTGCTTCTCCTGCCTGGGAAGATCCTGTGGGAAGCAGGAAGACCTACGGAAACCCACCTTGTTTCCTTTATTATGGGGGGCAGAGCGGGATGAGCGGGGGGGGGGGGGGGGGGGGGAGCGGAAAAGTTCAGGGGTTGGCTCTACTTTTTTTCACTGCGGGAGATACAAATAGTCAGGCTGCTGCGATGTGGCGAGGGAAATATTTTTATCCTACACTTTAATTTGTAGCTCGTTTTCTTTGAGTTTCCATTTAATGACTCAGCATTTCTGCCATAAATAGGGAAAAAAAAACACCTGTCGAGTAGGTTAATTGACTCAAAGGTGTGTGAGGATAACAGAGTGGCCATTCCTTTTTTTAATCCAGGAAAGGAAGAGAGTGTGGATACAGTGATGGCATCTGAGAGGGAGAGGCAGAGGCAGGGGATGGATGGCTGGTTTTCTTAATGTTTAAAATAACATTTTTTCAAGATAACATTTTATTTTGGGGATAAATCTGTTTTTGGAGGAGGCACAGTGTTGCAGATAAGAGTGAGTTGGCCGGGATTGGAGGCTTGCTGTGGTTTGACAGTCTTGCAGAATTAACCCTGTTTTACCAACATCATGTTCTGTTTAGCAAATACAGAAGATGATGATCTAGTATTCTAGGGATGTAGAATAAGAATTTTGGAAAGGGTGATTCATATAGGAAGTTAGGTCACTACTTGGTGAATCATTGATTTGGATCTTAAAATTGGAGTAGAGGAAAGCTAGGCATTTGTTGCTGCCTGTTTTATTAGGTGCCTTCACTCATTTTATAGAAAGTGTTGTATCACACTTGGTTAAGTTTGTAGCTGGATATTTATTGTCATGAAGTGTGGTAAGGAAATAAAAATTGAACTTTTGCAGAATGTTTGGGTGTCGAATTGTTTGTTAGTTCCTAGGTGGATTGTTGTGATTTTTACCCATATTTTGCTCAATGTGGAAGATAAATGAAGGGCTCCAGAAACAACATCAGTGAAAAGGAGAGCTACCATCCTTAAGGCAGGGACAAGTTCACTGAAAGAACCTGCAGTATACGAAATAGTCTTGAGTGAAAGGTTTCACCCATTTTGCCAATCTATCTTTAAAAATGTGGAATGAGCCGAAACCGGTTTGGCTCAGTGGATAGAGCGTCGGCCTGCGGACTGAAAGGTCCCAGGTTCGATTCCGGTCAAGGGCATGTACCTGGGTTGCGGGCATATCCCCAGTAGGAGATGTGCAGGGAGCAGCTGATCGATGTTTCTGGCTATCTCTCTCCTTTCCTCTCTGTAAAAAAATCAATAAAATATATTTAAAAAAAAAACGTGGAATGAGACTATATCTAGTGACTTCTTTACTTAAGTTCTGGTGTAGAAGAAAGTGTGTACTGAAGTTGTCATTTATTATTGGAATGAATTCATTTAAAACTAGAAATAACTTTTTTATGCTGAAATGTAACTTGATCCTTTTGGCTTTTAAAATGTTTAGCAAAATAACTTTGAATCACAGAGTTCTTGATACTCTTAGACTGTTTTCCTTTTCTTCTTTCTGGAATTCAGCTTATTTTACCTTGATTCTCATTTATAAAGAACTTCAATTATCTGTGATAAAGTAATGGTAAGTTTACCCTGTTGGTCTTGCTTACCAAATTCCTTTAATTCTTTGACTAAATTTTGGCATCTTGTTTCCTAGATTATTGATTCTTAATTCAGAATGTTCCCTAATGCTGCTTTTGGTTTTTGTCCAGCCAATAGTGACATAAGAGTTTCAGTTCCCCGTGATCAGAGATCCCCTTTTGGAAAATCCCCCATGGAAACCACCGTTACCATGCTGATGGTCTGGACAGGTAGAAACTGAAGTGAAGCCTCCTTAGGTCAGGATTTAAGCCTCTCTGCAATGAAAGAAAAAGTGATAGGGAGAATATATTTGACAAAGTAGATTCTTTATCTCTGAAAACAAAAACAACAGATCTTTCCTAGAAATGACAGGGAGGGAGCAGTTTATTGCAAAGCTCTTTATGAACTGGTTACCCTGCTCTTGGTGTAAAAAGGAACAGAATTGATGATGGATAGAAAAAAAATCTCTCTGCAGTGTGCTGGGAATGTTGATGAGGGTCACTTAGGAGGAAATAAATTCTTCAGTCCGCACCATATGATCACTGCACCTACAAAAGGCCCTTTCATAACCTTTTCCTTTTAGATAGTTGCTTTCTCTCTGGAGACTCTGAATGGAGAGATGGTCCTTTAACCAGGAAAACATACTACCGTGTCCAGTTTGCAAGTAACGAGTAGACTTTATGACCATCATTTCAGAACTCTTAAACTTCAGAAGGAAGAAATTATGCAAATTTACCCTGTGAGTAAAATAACTGTCCATTTCCTCCATTTTCCCCTTTAAGATGATAGATAGGACACCTGTGGAAATAATTAAAATATTTTTTTAAAATTTATTGACTTTAGAGAGAAAGAAGAAGGGGGACAAAAAGGGGAGGAACATCAATTTGTTGTTCCACCCATTTATGTAGTCATTGGTTGTTTCTTGTGTGTGCCCTGACTGGGGATCGAACCCGAAACCGTGGCATATCCAGATGATGCTCTAACCAACTGAGCTACCTGAGCAGGGCAAAATGATTTTGTGTGTGTGTTGCCCATTGCACTTTTAAAACTTATTGGCCTATAGTGAATTGGGCCAGAGTTAAAAGGAATCAAACAATGGGCTAAAAACTGGGTTTATCATGTTATACTTTTTCATTTGTTCTATTATTTCTTTATTTTGGTGGGAGACAGAATTCTATTTCTTTTAAAAAAATTAAAAAAATAGATTTGTATTGATTTCAGAGAGGCAGAAGAAGAGACAGATAGGAACATCAGTGATGAAACAGAATCATTGATCGGCTGCCTACTGCACGCCCCTTACTGGGGATCAACGCTGGCATGTGCCCTGACTGGGAACCGTGATCTCCTGGTTCATAGGTTGATGCTCAACCACTGAGCAACACTGGCCAGGTTATTGTATTTCTTGAAGAAACTCTGAGATTTGTTGCATATGCATGCTTTTGTTTTGGTCTAGTGGTAGGGACAGCAGTAGATAAGAGAAGTGGTTAAGAAGAGGGAAAAAATGGCATACATGGAAGGAGAATGCTCACATTATGGATTCAGTAGATTTTTGTAGGACATTTTAAAATTGATAAAACATTTAAAAAGAAAACGTTATATAGTGAAAAGGAAAACTCCTTTCTATGCTAAACTTTTCTCACTCCCCCACCCTCTAATCCAAGCAACCACTGTTAATGGTTTCCTGTGTACCCTTCTCCAAATTTTCTATTACATATGTAATCACATATGTTTAGGAGAAATGTCCTATTCCTTTCATTCTTACCCTTGATATGCTTTAGAGCTCTTTCTATATTAGTATATAAGTCCATCTGATTGTTTAAAACTTTTTAATTGAATTTATTGGGGTGACATTGGCTAATAAAATTGTATAAGTTTTGGGTGTACAATTCTATAATGCAACATCTGTACATTGTATTGTGTGTTCACTACTCTAATTCAAGTCTCCTTCCATCACCATTTATCCCTCCTATATCCTCTTCTACTTCTGCTGAACCACTTTCCCATCTGATTTTTTTTTTTTTTATTGATTTTTTACAGAGAGGAAGGGAGAGAGATAGAGAGCTAGAAACATCGATGAGAGAGAAACATCGATCAGCTGCCTCCTGCACATCCCCCACTGGGGAAGTGCCCGCAACCCAGGTACATGCCCTTGACCGGAATCGAACCCGGGACCTTTCAGTCCGCAGGCCAACGCTCTATCCACTGAGCCAAACCGGTTTCGGCTCCCATCTGATTTTTTAAAAAGACTGGATGTCCTGCCTAATGTAGATGAACCATAATTTATTCATTTTTCGTAATTTGTTTTGCCATTTCCTATTAATAGGCATTTAGATTGTTTGTAGTTTTATACAAATGCTGCTATAGTGAACAACTCATTTATAAGTCTTTGTACT